CCTGCCACCAATGAATAGAAAGCATTTCACAAATATCAATTAAATTCTATAACTGCCATGCCAAGGTTAAAAATTACATATGTAACAGAAGTTAAACTAAGGTTCCATTTCAATGACTAGCCAAAAAGTGCCACATCAAATCAGAAACAAAGTCAGAACAACCCAAAAAGCCTTCACTGCAGTTAACTATTATGCTTACATAATGCAGCATCTTTCTTCATGAAATACAGATTTCTCAAAATGTTTGGCCTTCAATGACGAGGATTCAATTTACAGCTAAACATCTTCTGGAGAACGGTAGGTTCGCCTTTTTTCAGAGCTCATATTATATACCATTAGCTTTATTTTAAATAGAGCAACTTTCTAAGTTTAAAAAAAAAATTAACAGTTGTACTGTAGATGACATAATAAGAACAGTGGCAAAGAATTTCCACTTCAAAACCTAACTATTTCTCTCTGTCCAAAGCACATAAAAATAAGTTACCCATCATAATGAAATTTTTTTGTAACAGGGACGTACAGGCAAGTAAAAAATACTTTAGGACCAGAAGCAGAAATGGCCAGCTTGGTTTAAAACCAACCCAGCCTCAAGTCCCTTTGGCAAAAGAGCACATGACTCACTGCTTTAGAACTCAATGGGAAGATATGGAAAATTCACTCTGCCCTAAGATTTTGCTTTAGGTTTGTTTTTTAAGATATCTTCATCTTGTTTTATTCATTTATTTATTTATTTTTGAGATGGAGTTTCGCTCTTGTTGCCTAGGCTGGAGTGGAATGGTGCAATCTCGGCTCAATGAAACCTCCGCCTCCCGGGTTCAAGCGATTCTCCTGCCTCAGTCTCCCCAGTAGCTGGAACTACAGGTGTGTGCCACCACGCCCGGCTAATTTTTTTGTATTTCTAGTAGAGACAGGGTTTCACCATGTTGGCCATGCTGGTCTTGAACTCCTGACCTCAGGAGATCCACCTGCCTCGGCCTCCCAAATTTCTGGGATTATAAGCATGAGCCACCGTGTCTGGCCAGACAGCTTCATCTTAATGTTCACAATTTCTATAGCGTCCATGGCTTATTTACAAAGATGACAAACTATGAATAAGATGAACCACGTGTAAACAAGAGGGTCTTATTTTTTTGCTGGATACTTAAAATATAAGCCATAAAGTCTCACACACACAGACACACACACACACACACACACACACACTTTCTGTCTCTGTCATTTAGTATACAACTGAGAGAGAGACATTTATATTATTTTTAAAAATTGAAAATAGGGAAGGGCGTGGTGGCTCACGCCTGTAATCCCAGAACTCTAGGAGGCAGAGGCAGGCGGATCACGAGGTCAGGAGTTCAAGACCAACCTGGCCAACATGGTGAAACCCCATCTCTACTAAAAATACAAAAATTAACCAGGTGTAGCGACAGGCGCCTGTAATCCCAACTACTCCAGAGGCTGAGGCAAGAGAATCGCTTGAACCTAGAAGGCAGAGGTTACAGTGAGCCGGATCACGCCACTGCACTCCAGCCTGGGCAAGAGAGCAAGACTCCACCTCAAAAAAAAAAAAAAAAAAAAAAAAAAAAAAAAAAACGAAAAACCAGACACGAACGTTCTAAATAGAAAACCAAAAATTATGGTTCTGATTTTTCCTTCCCAGAAACATCTCAAAATCTCTTTAAACTGGAGATATTTTATCTGGAAAAATAGGTAACAAATAATTGTACTAAAAAATTCCTTCCAACCTCATTAAAAGTTGTATATAAGAACTATGAATAATTTTAAAAATTAATGTACAAATTAAGCATAACATTCTTCAACATGTATCAAAAAACACTACATACACTACATACACTTGGAACTAAAGCTCTCTTATTTACGTCAAATTATCTTAAGCTCCTGATTAATAAGCTACTGAAAAATCACCACTCTTAGTGTGTAGGGTTTTGTTTGTTTCTGACGGAGTCTTGCTCTGTCACCTAGGCTGGAGTGCAGTGGCGTGATCTCGGCTCACTGCAACCTCCGCCTCCCGGGTTCAATCCATTCTCCTGTCTCAGCCTCCCAAGCACCTGGGACTACAGGCGCATGGCACAACACCCGGCTAATTTTTTTTATTTTTAGTAGAGACAGGGTTTCACCATATTGGTCAGTCTGGTCTCCAACTCCTGACCTCAGGTGATCCACCCGCCTCGGGCTCCCCGGTGCTGAGATTACAGGCGTGAGCCATTGCACCTGGACCTTAGTGTGCTTTGATACCTACAAACAGTAGGAATAGGGATATGTCAGACACATAATAAAGTGAATTATCATTCCCAACCTTACTCATTTCCTCACCATACTAACTGTTCTACTTTCTAATCATATTAAAAAGAACAAAAATGCAAAAACAAATCATACACTGACAAGCATTCATAAGGCTAAATCAAAATCACATTTACCACATATAGGTGAAATTCTTTTGAAGATGTCTACTCATGTGAATGCTTGATACAAGGCATTAAAATGACCTACCCTCTTATGACAGTATCTCACAAAAAGGTCCCTTTCAAGGAGCAACACAAGAGAAAAGGTCCAAAGGGCCTTTCGTGCAAATTATCTTTTCCTTTTTTTCCCACCTTTTATGTTCACTATTTTAAAATCGCAAATAGATTTACTGTTTTAAGTAAAACAACTGCAGTATTCTTCTTAGATTTTTGCAGTTTTCTTGTACCTCCTATTTCTTGCCAAATATTTCTGACATTAATTTATACTTATATGACTAGAATAATAAAAAACATCAACAAGAGTGTAGATGTATGTGTATCTTTATATATTAATATATACACACACAGGGACAAATACAGAGACAATAAGTGTCTATTTTAAAGCAAGGACATTGCTTTTTATTCCAATCATTCAATGCCCATCATGAAAAAAAGGTGGAAAACATTAGATTTTAAGATTTACGACAGAGAAATTACTTAGTTGTAGCAACCATTCATATCAAATAACCTTACAAAACACAAGCTAGAGAAAGACGCTCTGAAAGGGCAATCCAGCATTTCACAGCTTCTGCTCCCTTACTCCACCCAGTCTTCTCGGCTCAATGGCTGTTCACAGCATCCACAAATATTAGCCCATTTTTTAAAAAAAGGATGTGGGGGGAGGTACCAACGTAGGGCTTGCTCCATCAAAATCAGCATATACAGAAATACTTCATGTGAAAAATTGGGTTCCTTTCTGGTTTTAAAAAATATATACCAGCCTTAAATTTCTTTTAGGAGATTCCCCCCTTCTGAGCAATCCAAACAATGATCATTAATGAACACGAAAGAAATCACCCTAAATACAGATTACTCTTCTGCTTTATTAAAAACTGCAATTTCCAACTGCCAATTATTTTGTGAAACCGTGTCCTAAAAGACACCCGTTAGAGATTAAAAGCTAGCTGATGCCTTAAAACCAAATCAGAATTTTTTAGGTAAAAGCTTTTACTATATATTCTACATCACTATGACACAGTCAACAGGAAATTTTCCTGATTATGAGACTGGACCCCGCAGCGATCAAGCCCTGCTGCAGCAAAAAAAAAAAAAAAAAAAAAAAAAAAAAAGCAAACACTCCTGTGGCAAAAAGGGAGGGATGACATTATTACTGGTATGAAAGGCCCAAGCAGTGTCTCTCCTCCGCCCTAGCCTCGAAAAGAAATTCACACAAAATAACCCACTCCCCCAACAAAAACAGAATTGCCAAAAATGGCATAAATTTCTTGTTTGGCGTTTAAAACCTTACGAATCTCAAAGACTGTGTGCTTAAAGGAGAGATGAGAATAACAGTAGTATCTCTATTTGTCCGGACTGCCACTTAAGGAAAGAGGGAGGGGGGACCTTGGCATGACATCGCCCATTGAGAACGAGACCACAAATCTGGTCCTCCTCTTCAAAGGCATATTTTCTTAACCAAAAGACTGATATAAATTGGGCCGAAACCCCAAAAGAAAAATTCCTGCCCTCTTCCCAAGGAGTTTCTTGCTAAGTCACTGAAGAAAGGCAGCCTAACAAATAAAGCGAAGGTACCTTGCTCTCTCCTACTAAATACTGAAAACCTCTTCCCGTCTACTGTTACGTTTAGAGGGGCAGAGTCAAAATGTGCCGACCACCTCAAAGGCATTCTCTCGTGTGGGAGGCTAAGAGGGTAAATATGCACAGGCACTGCGTTTCCCAAAGGGGCAGGGAGAGGAGATTAGATGAAGGGGAATGGCAGGGAGCCTCGAAGCTGAATGTTAACAGCATCAAAAGGCAACTCCCGATCGAGGAGCCGGTGGCAGAAAGAAAATCCTGCCAGATTCGGTGGGTGGATGCTGCGGATTGCTCGGTGGGCCGGGCTGCCTCTCCTCGGCGGGTGCTGAGGCTGGACCGCCGCACTGGGGGCCGGGGAGACGCTGGGCCACCCTCCGCTGGTCCACCCCATCTTAAGGACCAGTCGGGGACGGAATGCCTGGAAGGCCCAATGGGTGCCCCGGCGGCGAGGGGCTGAGCCGGTCCCCGAGCCCACAACTGAGGGTGGGGTGGGGACTGCGGTGCTCGTCTCTGCGGCCGGAGAGAGCAGGGCCGAGCCCTTTCCCCGGGATCAGAGAGCTACCTGGTCCCCACGCCCTTCCTACCCAAGAATACTTTTCTTGCTAAGTCACCCAGGGAGGAGGGCGATCCCTTCCTGGGGAGGGCCGCGGGGAGGGTCGCAGCGGCGCCGGCAGCCCCCAAAGCCGGGCCCGGGAGGAGAGCAGCGAGGGCAGCGCCCTCCCCGGACAGTCCCCCTCCTCCGGGTCTCTCACTCAACGGCCGTCGCGGCCGCCATTTTGAGAGCGAGGAGAGAAGAAGAAGGAGGAGGCGGCGGCGGCGGCAGGGGGAGGGGAGAATGGGAGGGAGGGGACCGGCGCAGCCACATCGTCAGGCCGCCGGGTCCGGCCTGCAGCCGCCCGGGCGCGGTGGAAGAGACAGAGGGGAGGACGCAGACCCGCGCCGCCTTACCGGAGCGCTGCACCGCCGCCTCCGCAGGGCCTCTTCCGTCCTTCACTCCCATCCACCGGCGGGGGAGGGGGAGGGAGAGGGGAGGGAGGAAGGAGGGAGGGAGGGAAGGAGGGGGGGAGGATGGCGCGCTGGGCCCGGGCCCGGGGAGGGGGAGGGGAGGGGAGCGGGCGAGCTCCTCAGCCGTTCCGGGGCTCGAGCCCAAGCTCGGCGCTCGCGGTTTCTCTCGCTCGCGCCCGGGCGCTCCCCTCCTTCTCCTTCTCGCTCCCTAGACCCCCGGGTCGCTGCTCCTCCGCTCGCTCACTCGCTCTCCCGGCCGCCGGACTCCGCCGCCGCCCCGCCGCTCCAGCTCCGTCTGTCACAGGAGCTGCCCCAACGCCCTGACGTCACCGCGCCGCCGCCGCCGCCGCCACCGCCGCCGCCGCCGCCCCAGACCCGCCAGGAAGAGGGAGGGGCGGGCGCCGGGAGCGGAGGAGGGGCTGCGGCGCATGCGCCGGGCTGGGCCGAGCCGGGACCGCACTGCCTTCTAGCGGGTGGGCGGCTCCGCGGTGCCCCCGGGCCGGCGGGCGAGTCTGCGCGCGAGGTGCTGCTTCTCACGCTCGGCACGCTTCTGTAACCTTGGGAAAGGCTCTTTTTTCCCAGCCCCTCGTCTAACTTGTGGCCCCTTCTGAACTCTGGCTCTGCTCACCTCCCTGCCCTGCTTTTGCGCTCATGCGGCCGACCGCGGGGACCGGTTGGCACCGTGCGTGGCGGGCCCCGGGAGGCGCGAGAGGCAGCGGAGCCCGGCCACCTACCGTCCCTTTCTGCCTCCGGCCTCCGAGATGATTTCTCAGTTTCGGGGGAAATGAGGGAAGGGAGTAGGTTGGTCGGCTTGGGAGGAGGAGCTGTTGAGGTTAAAAGGCAGATGGAATGCTGTCATTGTCTTGATTTTTGTTACAGATTTTTAATTGGGAGGACTCGCTTTTGGATGTGATTCAGCTATTCTTCTTCTTAGTCACACACACACATCAGAGGATGCCCAAAGAAAGGCCTGGAACTGTATCACTATAAGGGATGTCTGTGTGTGTTTGTTAAATTATGGATTGAAATATTGATGAGAGAGTCCTCTTGGGGATTTGCAGTTAATTTATTCCGCACAGAGACCCATGATTTTTTTTTTCCTTTTTTTTTTTTTTTGAGACGGAATCTCGCTCTGTCGACAGGCTGAAGTGCAGTGGCGCGATCTCGGCTCACTGCAACCTTCGCCTCCCGAGTTCAAGCGATTCTCCTGCCTCAGCCTCCCGAGTAGCTGGGACTACAGGCGCCCGCCACCTCGCCCAGCTAATTTTTGTAATTTTTAATAGAGACGAGGTTTCACCATGTTGGCCAAGATGGTCTCGATTCCTTAACCTCGTGATCCGCCCGCCTCAGCCTCTCAAAGTGCTGGGCAGGCGTGAGCCACCGCGCCCTGCCGACCCTTGATTTTTAAAAAGCGAGATTTGGGGTTCTGAATAATTCAATATGGGTTATTATTTTAATAACAGGTTTAAATGAGATTATCTTATCATTAATTTTATTGTCCAAGGAAGCTCTTTTCTTCAAACAGGCTTAACCTTATGTGTACTGATTTTATTGCATCACTTTATATAGGTAAATATATATATACTGCCTTTGAGAAGCAACAGAGTTAATGAAAGAGACAACTTAGGTGTAAATCCTGGACCCCGCACTTGCCAGAAGCCAGACCTGGGGCAAATTATCATACCTCTCTTTGGCCTCAGTTTCTCAATAAAAGACACCTAATAACTAACCCGTCTTTTGTGAGAATTAGAGAGGGGATGCAGCCTGTGCAAAGTATCCCAGTTTCATGGGGACTCATCGGTAACTCATGTAAACATTACTGTTGCTTGATACCAAAACAAGCTTCCTTTGATCAAGAAAGGTTATCTCCCATCCTGGCTAACACCGTGAAACCCTGTCTCTACTAAAACATGGTGAAACCCTGTCTCTACTAAAACTACAAAAAAATTAGCCGGGCCTGGTGGCAGGCGCCTGTAGTCCCAGCTACTGGCGAGGCTGAGGCAGGAGAGTGGTGTGAACCCTGGAGGCGGAGCTTGCAGTGAGCTGACATTGTGCCACTGCACTCCAGCCTGGGCAACAGAGTGAGACTCCGTCTCAAAAAAAAAAAAAAAAAAAAAAAGAAAGGTTATCTCTGCCAGGCACAGGTTGCTAACCCCTGTAATCCCAGCAATTTGGGAGGCCAAGGCAGGGATGGGGAGGTTGGGAGCGGGGGTGGTGGATCACCTGAGCCAAAGAGTTGGAGACCAGCAGGTGCAACATAGTGAAACCTCATCTCTATAAAAAAAATTTTAAAAATTAGCTAAGTGTGGTGGCACGTGCCTGTAGTCCCAGCTACTGGGGAGGATGAGATGGGAGGATTGCTTAAGCCCTGGAGATCCGGACCAGCCAGGGCAACACAGCAAGATCTCATCTCTAAAAACAAAAAAGAAAGAAAAGAAAAACAGCCGGCACGTTGGCTCATGCCTGTAATCCCAACACTTTGAGAGGCCCAGACAGGCGGATCCCTTGAGGTCAGGATTTCGAGACCAGCCTGGTCAACATGGTGAAATGCCATCTCTACTAAAAATACAAAAATTAGCCAGGCATAGTGGTGTGCGCCTGTGATCCCAGCCACCTGGGGGACTGAGGCATGAGAATCGCTTGAAGCCGGGAGGCAGAGGTTGCAATGAGCCAAGATCATGCCACTGCACTGCAGCCTAGGTAACAAAGCGAGAGTCTGTCTCAGAAAAACAAACAACAAAAACAAAAACTTTTAATTAGCTGGGTGTGGTGGCCCGTGCCTGGAGTCCTAGCTACTCAGGAGGTGGAGACAGGCGGATCACCTGAGCCCAGGAGGTCCAGGTTGCAGTGAATCACGGTCAGGCTACTGCACTGTAGCCTGGGCAGATTGGCCCCCCATCTCTAAAAATAGGCTGGGATCAGTCCTTCAAGCCTGTAATCGCAGCACGTTGGGGTACCAAGGTGGGAGAATCGCTTGAGCCCAGGAGTTCGAGACCAGCCTGGGCAACACAGGGAAACCCCGTCTCTACGGAAAAATAGAGAAATTAGCCAGACGTGGTGGTTCGCGCCTGTGGTTCCTCCCATTGGGAGACTGAAATGGGAGGATCGTTTGAGCCCGGGAGGTGGAGGCTGCAGTGAACAGAGATGGCACCACTGCACGCCAGCCTGGGTGACAGAGCAAAACCCTGTCTCACAATAAAGTTAAATTAAATAAGTAAAATGAGTAAAAAAGAAAGATTGTCTCCATCCCTGTAAGTGTTCAAAGGGAACATGAGCCAATTGCATGAAGGGCTTGGGTTTTTGCGTCACGAAGATTTGCCAGAGATGAATCAAATTGTCTCCAGAAAGTCTTGTCCAGTTTTACATTTCTGGGATTTTCAGATAAGGACAATAAAATGAGGCATAGAGCTTTGGTCTGTGCTATTGCTTTGGTTCAGTAACAGTCAATAAACATACAATAAATTAGCATCCCTTTGTTCTAAGAATCCACCCTCCCTTCATTTTTACCTTTTAAAATATTTATTATGGTCTGATATCATGCTACTTAATATTTAATTAGCTGAGTAAATCAGTTCTTTATTTTTTAAACGAATGCTCTAAAAGTAAACAAAATTGACCAAAAAGAAATCAGAAACACTTTTATAAACACTGACTTCATACAAATAGGTAGCACTAACTCCTATAAACCTTGAGCTCTCAGACTCATACTTAGAAAAATTTAAAATCTATATTATGTAATTATGCACTAAATTTATATCAAATTTTATTTCTATAGCGGTCCTTCAAAAAATAATAAACTCCCTTTGGGGGAAGGTATAAAACTTTCTCCCTGGATTATGATTTTTCTGAACAGAAAACTGTTAACGTGCTTACCTTGATGTGAAGTGATGTGTTATGGTTCTATGCACCTTCCCTTCAGTTAGCTGCTAGGATGATAGATCTATCTTAATAAACCTTTGTCTATTGAAAATGTAGAATTAGGACATCTATGCTATCAATCAGAATTTGTAAGGACTTAGATAGAACTTACTATATCCATCCAGGAAACATTTAATAATGGACATTTTAGATGATGTTTCTTGAAAAAAAAATTAAGTGTAAACATCCATTTTACTTACCACAATCTAAGAATCTCCCCATTCATTTTTTTTTTTTTTTTTTTTTTTTTGAGACGGAGTCTCGCTCTGTCGCCGGGGCTGGAGCGCAGTGGCCGGATCTCAGCTCACTGCAAGCTCCGCCTCCCGGGTTTACGCCATTCTCCTGCCTCAGCCTCCTGTGTAGCTGGGACTACAGGCGCCCGCCACCTCGCCCGGCTAGTTTTTTGTATTTTTTTAGTAGAGACGGGGTTTCACCGTGTTCGCCAGGATGGTCTCGATCTCCTGACCTCGTGATCCGCCCGTCTCGGCCTCCCAAAGTGCTGGGATTACAGGCTTGAGCCACCGCGACTGGCCCCCATTCATTTTAATTGCAAATCTTCATTTCTCCAGTAGACATTTTCAAAATTGAAATATTTATTTATTTATTTATTGAGACGGAGTCTCACTGTGTCACCCAGCCTGGAGTGCAATGGCGCAATCTCAGCTCACTGCAACCTCCGCCTCCTGGGTTGAAGCGATTCTCCTGCCTCAGCCTCCTGAGAAGCTGAGATTACAGATGCCTGCCTCCACGCCCAGCTAATTTTTGCATTTTTAGGAGAGACGGGTTTTCACCACGTTGGCCAGGCCGGTCTCAAACTCCTGACCTCAGGTGATCTGCCCACCTCAGTCTCCCAAAGTGCTAGGATTACAGGCGTGAGCCACCACACCCAGCCTGGAAACATTTATTCAATTGCTGTAGTAAAATTAGTGTCAGTTTAAACAATTCTGCAAATAAGCTGACTGGAAGAAGCACTCCAAAAATACTTCTATTGGGAAGAGGAGTATCTTCTTCTAAGGTATCTCCAGAGTAAAAGTCTATTTATGATAAGTGCAAATATTAAAATGTTGTTTTGAGAACTGTTCTCTATAATTTATAGGTAAATGTACATTGTTATGTGTGCAAATTTGATAGAAAGCAATTAGCAAGTTGTGAGAAGGAAGCTTTTGGGCATACAAGTTATGTGAATCAAAGTCCCATTTAAAGGAGAATCACAACCCACCTGTCATGGGACTCACTCTGGGAGATTTTACTAATTATTGTGTGTACCTGCATTTCCCCAAGGTATGGATATGCCAGTGAGGGCAAGTCCAACTAGACCCATCCTTCCTCATCTCAGCATCATGACATCCACCTGTGTTACGAACACTGAGTGTCCATAA